AAACAGCTGCGGCACGTTTACAGATACGCAAACACGACAACATGGAGAGCACTTCATGCCTCCAACTCGAGCACGTCGAATTAGAACGAATATCGCATGAGGACATGGCGGCATGGAGAATATATGTAATCTACATTTTAAGGGGCTGGGAGGCTAATTATAATTGCAAATTGGCAACTTGACTCCTGGCCCTCTTTCGGCACAGACCCAGTTTGAGCTGATCATTAAAGGTTACATGCACTCAACATTTACAACCCTCAGATCCTCTCAGTGAGCACAGTCTGCTGCTCTGCTTTTAAAGCATATATTTATTTTTTATTTCTGATACAGCCGTGGCGTCCACATTGAAAACAATGAATTTGAGGGCGCAATAAAAACAGCACGTGCAAGGTTACAAAGTTTCCGAAGCAGCCCCCCCAAAGCTGACATCAGATCTGACAAGCTTTTTGTTCGAAGCACATTTAGCTACATTTTTATGCTCAAAAACTAAAATGGAAATTGGAGAATGGTCTTCAGAGTGGATAAATCTGAAAACAGCAGCCTCATGTTTTGGTGTGGATCAGGAAAACTGAACTTCAGGAAGAATGATGACATCAGCGTGGTCAGACACGGTGGTGGGGAAACACTAACATGGGTACCAGAGCATGTGAGCAGAGCGGAGCGGGTGAAAATTTCCGCTCCTCGCTCGCAGACCTGTATTTTGTGCCGCTCGTCCGCTCCGCTTGGTTCTGCGCATTCTTCACTCCACTCCGCTCCACTCCATCATAAATTTTAACCACTCGCTCACCACTCCACTCAAAAAAACTGCGTTGTACTACCCTAATCTGTAATCTTCTATTCACAAATAAAACATGAGCTTGGTAGATTCTCCGGGGAATCCCTCTCCCCGCAGTTAGGGACTGTTCTACACGGTACCGCTGCTTCTCTTCTCAGTTTCTTTTCTGAAGTACACAGTAAACTCCATAGTTTTGAAAGAAAATAGTGTGGGTGTGCGCAGGTGCAAAGATGCATTCTGGGTGGGGCATGAGCGACCGGAGCGAAATTGGAGATAAGACTCCACTCCATCTTTTTAAAAAAATAGCCGCTCCTTGCTCAACACAAAATCCTTCCGCTCCCTGCTCCGCTCACATGCTCTGGTGGGTACAGTTGATCTCTCGATGCAGGTGATTGTGATTTTATCCCTGTGCTCATGTTTCTGTGTGACCATGATAAAACAGTGAATCTGTTACCTCCCTCTTGATTTTGTTTTATTTTGGGGCGTCACTGACAGTGGCTGCATCCTCGATCTTCTTCTAATAAACCAGCAGCAGATGATCGCAGTGTTCTTGGAGGAAAATAGTTAACAAGGGAGTTAGTGATGTAGATTGCTCCCAGCCCATGTAGGGCCTTGTATACAAGGAGGGGGAGCTTAGAATAAATTGTAAATGTAACAGGAAGTCAGTGCAGAGCAGCTCAGACTGGCCTGATGTGCTCGCTCCTCTTGGTTCATAGCTGAGCTGCAGTTTTCAATCAGCTGAATCTCTCAGCTTGAAATGAAGACATGAATCGATTTCTCTGCATCTTTTAGAAATGGTCGTACCTTGACTATGTTTTTGTTTCTGAGGTGGAAACATGATGTTGTCATCATCTTGTTAATGTGGGACTTAAAGGTTAGATCTTAATCACCAAGGCTTGAAACCACAGATTTAATCCAGGGAGTTAAATTCCTCAGATTATTAAGAAGCATTTCTCTTTTTGTTTCATTAGGAATTGAATTTTGTCTTCATTTAACTTTAAGAAATTATTGCTGATCCATTTATTTATCACCAAAAGACAGGTAGTGATGGAGTTCATGGCTGCAGCATCAATTGGTTCAGCAGAGATGTAGAGTTGGGTGTCATCTGCGTAACTATGGAAGCAGACCTTGTGTTCTCTGATGATGTCACCAAGCGGCAGCAGGTACAGTGAGGACCAAGACAGCTCCCCAAAACAGAGGTCATGTTTCTCAGACACATGACCTCCAAGACTGATGTAAAACTTCCTCCCTTAAATGTTTTGAACCAGTTTAACACACAGTCACAAAGATCGACCAGCATGATTGATTATGATGCCGTGGTCAATCGTATCAAATGGTGCACTCAGGTCTGAGAGGACGAGAACTGAGACCTTATTTTGAGTCTGGTCTGAAGTTGCTGATCATTTTAGTGAGAGCAGCTTCAGTGCTTTGGTGTGTTCTAAATAAATGTGAAACTAAAATAAGTACTTAAGAAGGATGGATTTGCACTTAAAGAACAGGTGTATTGCTCTTAAAAATATCATAATTTGTATTTAAATGTTGAAAGTTAGTGCTAAGCAGACGGTGGTAATTCTCTGTTGTGGTGTGTGTGTGTGTTGTTGTTGGAGTTAAGGGAAAGAAACTGTTCTTGAGCCTGTTTGTTCGGCTTTAAACATAAAACTCACTTAAAATCATAAAAAATATAAAATGAAATAACTCATAAAAAGTCATAAATCATGAAATCACAGAACTGTAAAAACATAAATCATAAAATCAAGTCAGAGAGTTTCAGACCTGTGTTAGAAAAGTCAGAGCGTTAAAGTCTGAAGGGAACAGATATGTTTTTAGACTTATTTTAATCAGGATTTTAAAAATGGATCATTTGAACACTGTTTTTGCACTTGCAAAAAAAAAAAGTTACATTTATTAGACTACAACCAAAACGTTGTAGTCTAATAAATTTACCTTTTTTTTAAAGTGCAGACATTCATTGTTTGCCCCACCTACGCACCTGTCTAAGACTGTTTTGGTGTGCACAGGACTTTTTTGAAAAATGGATAATTTAACAGCCCTCATACATACAAATATTCTTATACATATAAAAAAGAGGTGTGTCATTTCATCTCATTCATGATAATACCAGTATCATTTTTAATATGATACGTCCGCTCAGAGGGAACTCATTCAGCGGCTCCTCTGGCAGCAGCACAGTGATTCTGTCTCCTAACAGCCTGTCACAGGTTACAGCCTGATGATCAGAGATGATTTATATATATATATATATATCTCAGGGGACATTTGTTTAAATGTGTAATTAGTGTTAGATTTGATTTAGTTGAACTATTAATATTGTGACAGAATCTGAATCTCACTCTGAGTTACTGTTGTTGTTCACTTCATCATTTTTCTTGGTTTTACTGAAGATTTGAAGCAAACTGTAAAATTGCATCACTGATTTTGTTTATTTGAGGAGTTTGACATGTGGACTGTCCGTCCATGAACATGCCTGTCCCTGTGTTAGTGTGTTAATATGTGTGTGTGTCCGCTCTCGGAGCTGTGCAGCTGTGATGTGATGTGTTGGCTCTTTAAGGCAGACAATCCAAACAGAGAGGTGGTGGTGAGGGTGAGGATGGTGAGAGTGGGGGGTTAGAGAGAGAAGGAGAGTAGCCAATAAGAGGCGGCGGGTGCAGACACACTCTGTGTTTGTGACACCTTGTGGTGGAGAGTGAGGGGGTGGCAGAGATGGAGAGAGGGGGGGGCACCGCTGGATAGAGAGGGAGAGATCAAAGAGAGCCGAGGCAGAGGAGGAGGAAGAGGATGAGAGATAGCAGAGCTGCAGTGAGAGCCAGCGAGCGCCCTGCCTGCCTTCTGCGACGACTGTTTACTCCACTTTCCCTGAGAGCCGCTTCTCTTCCCTCTGCGTGAGTCATGAAGTGATGTAGGTGAGTGGAGCGTCGTGGAGCGGAGCAGCAGAGCCACAGATCTGTGTGTGTGTCTGCGTCGTGGGCAGGTAAGATCGTCTCTCTGCATCTCTCTGCATCTCTCTGCATCTCTCTGGGTCTGAGTTTCACTGTTTTATCTGCTTCTGTCTCCGGTGAGGACGAGCAAACAACTTCTGCAGACTTTGGGTCTTGTTTCATTTCTCCTCTCCTCCCCTGTGCTCCCCTTTCATTCACTCCATCCTCCAGATCTGGGTAGTTGGTGCTTTTGCAGGCTGTACAGTGTGACTGTGTGAAGTGTGAAAGGCGTGCTGCAGCTTCTCTCTGACAGTCTGAGCAGCATTTAGTGTCTCAGTATTGACAGCCGGGCTCAGAGGGGCTGAGGGCTGGAAGAGGATGAGACGGGAGATGAGTCAAATCTCTGCTTGAGGGACCAGGAGGAGAGCAGCATCAGTTGATGATGATCCCGATCTGTACCAGAGCACAGGAGGAAAAAAAAAACAGAGATAATCCTGCACAAATAAGCCACGGCTGCTTGTCAGATTTTACACTGCGTTTTTGTTTTTTGATTTCGTAACGGCGTTGAGGTGAAATGTGTGCAGAGGAGCTGGATGTGTCCCTGGGCTTCTCCTCACGTCCTCACTGACTGAGTGTGGAAGGTGTAGCGGGCAGGTGATGGGAGATTTGTGGCTCAGCCCTCCTGAGTGACAGCAGAGCTCTATCACAGCTTCCATCATGACTCAAGCTGGTAAACTGCAGCTCAGCCTGTGACACAAATCCCCGTCCCTTCAGCGGTGTGGGAATAACCTGCCTTCATCTCACGGCTGGATTACAGTGATTTACTGTTGCTCTCCATCAGCCTGGGTGTGTTTGTGCGGGCGTTGACCTATAATGGCACCTAATGGCATCGTATGTTATCTCCAAGAGGACACTGTCAAACGGGACGCAGTCGCCAGACACTTCCAGTTGTAATATGGCAGCTGTTATTAATGCTGGCTCTCCTCATGACCCCCATCACAACTACTGCTGGCAGAGGTGCTGGACAAGAATTAATGGACCCTTTAAAATTAGAAATTACATTTATTGTGGGCTGGATTTACTGTCAGCGAGCACCTCCATCACTCTCCCTCCGTAAAGGACAACTCCAGAGGATATTTTTGTCTTTGTTGGCCCTCAACACAGGCTGTGATTGAGTGTGCCAGATATTAGGGTCGTCTCCCTCATATCCATCTTCAGCTCTACACAAATCCTCCTCATTGATTCGTCTGCTTCTGCTCACCTGCATCCGGAGAATCAATAACGGAAGGCTTTTACCTGGACTGACCTCAGACTCAGCGTCCCTGACATGTTTTCAGATTCCCTTTGCTGAAGGTTTTCTGGCTTTCTGTGAACTCAGAAAACCTTTAATCGCCTTCCTTTGAATTCCAGACATCATATTAGTTTCGGAACGGTGGCGGGGTGAAATCGCTCACACTCAGGGATCAATAAACAGGCAGAAACAATGTGAGGGGGAAACAAGAGAGCTGCTGAACACATTTAACAAGTTGTGCCGCAGCAGGTAGGCTCAGCAATCACACTCATTTTGTTAATGTCACAACTATCGAGCCAGCACAAAACTAAATTAAAGAAATAAAGATTTCAGAGCAGGCAGGGACAAAAATCTGATTGTGAGCATGAGGTCTAAAATCCACCTCTCAGTGTTCAGTGTTTCCTCCACAGATGAAATGTAAAATGTAAAAGAAGCCAAAAGACTCCAATCAGATCTGAGGACAGAGAAACTCCTGTGGTGCAAAATCTAAACTGTGAAGGAGTCTCAAGATTCACTTTGTGTCTATAGATCTGTCCCTGAGTCTTTTAAATCTCGACATCCTAGAAAGATCTGTGCATCTGATATGATGGATTGATACTGGCACTAATACTAACCTCACTAAATGCAGATGAGATCAGGTGTCGTCCGTGACGCAACCGATCCACGTTTAATAAAGTTTCTTTGTCAGAGTCTTTTTATAATTTAGTGTTTCTTCAGTCAGAGCGGAACAACAACTTGTTTCACCACAGAATCTGTGTCGTTGCTCTGAAGATCGATCTTGGTCTCCAGAATAGTTTCTGATGGTCTCGTCTCTTGACTGCATTTTTCCACGGTCTTGTCTCAGTCTCAGACGCCGACAGCTGAAGAGATATCACTAAATTGCCTGCACCAAAAAAGTGAGTTGAATAAAGATGGTTGATTTCAGCTCTGACATATATACTGTCTTTTAACTACACGTTCGCGGGCACGTGATGGCTGTCTCACATCACCTGCATCCGTTTGGAGTGTTGGTTGTGCACGTCCTCAGGAATTAACCCAACATGTCCTCAAGATGTAACACACACATGAACAGTCGGGGCAGTTTTGGCAGAACCAGAGAAGGAAACTCACCACTGTCGAGATGTGTTTTATACCCACCATCTGTGATGTCACTGTTTCTGTGTAATCCACACTGATCTCAGAAGTAAAAACACAGGAACCTCCTCGAGCTGTGCTGTGTTTATCGTTTACATCACGCAAATCTGTTGCACCCTCTGGTGGGATCCTCCAGTAACACACATAGTACATCGGCAGGTATGTGAGTAATTCTGTTGTCGACACGAACACATGGTTAAAAAGCAGGTTTATCGGGGCATTGGTAGCGTAGTGGATAGTGCCGGTGCCCCATGTACAGAGGCAATGCCTCGCTGCAGCGGTCGCAGGTTCAACTCCGGCTTGCAACCCTTTGCTGCGTGTCAACCCCCACTCTCTCTCTCTCTCACCCCATTTCAATCTGTCCTGTCCATTAAAGGCAAAAAGCCCCAAAAAATAATCTTAAAAAAAAAAAAAAAAAAAAAAAAGCAGGTTTATCTCCGGCCTCGGTGTTTGTATCTGTTCGCTCATAGAAAATAAGATTGTAGTGATCTACCGGTTTCAATACTCTGATACTGACGGTTATCATAGCGTCTTTTAGGGGCATTCATTTTAGTTTTTTTTTTCAGAAGAGACTTTTTACACAAACATCCATTAATAATGGTTTTGCGGCCTCTTGATCCGTCAACTGATGTAAACTCTCCTGCTAAGCTAGCTAACAGCTAGCAAGCTAACCGTTCATTGATTTTGTCTGTTACTTATCGGCACATCATCTGTTACAGCTGGGTTAACTATACTTTGTATTATGTGGCTGTGTTTTCTGTATTATTGCAGATAAACATCATCCTTATCTTCTGTCCAGTTTAGATTGTTGTCCATTTTGTGTTATCTGTTGTTCATTTTGGAGGAGTAACCTAACACTAGCACCTTTTACACAGAGATGGCGCCATGGGGCCGCAGCCAAGATGCTTCTTTATGTTGATTTGTATTTTTTGACCCTGAACCAAACAGTGTGATGTCAGGAAGGCATGATGACATCACAAAATTAAAAGAAGCGTGACATGTAACACAACAGTGTCAGCCGCTAGTGTGACATATAACATACATGTCAGCAGCTCTTTATAAACAATAACAATTACATCACATGTCAATAACAATCATTTAGCGTCCCTGTTATATGGTGGCTGATCTCATCCTCTGCGTGGAGGGTAAGGAGCTTCTGGACCTCATTGTTGAGTTAGCCGCAAACTGCTAACAGCTGCTGTTCTTCTTCTTTGAGTTAGCCACCAACTGCTAACAGCTGCTGTTCTTCTTCTTTGAGTTAGCCGCTAACTGCTAACAGCTGCTGTTTTTTCTTCTTTGAGTTAGCTGCTAACTGCTAACGGCTGCTGTTTTTTTTCTTTGAGTTAGCCGCTAACTGCTAACTGCTACTCTTTCGATCTCCCTGAGGTGGGTTGCACACACAACACATTGTCAAAACGTCACACACATCCCGTCCATGATTCCGTCCTGTTGGCTGTCCCTCTCAAGGCCCCAACGCACCAATCTGACGGTCAGCCATCAGTCGGGTTTGGGCCTTCGGTGAGCATCTGTCGCCCTTGTCGGTGCGGTGTATTCAGCTGATTCAGCACGTTGAATCAGCGTCAGAGATGTCAGAGCCCAGTGGTGAATGACCTCCCTCTGACTGTCAGCTGAGCTCAGGTGAGGAGCAGAGAAGCGTGAGTAAAGGAGGATGTAGTGACTGGTCCTGTAGCCACTACTGGATGCTGATTAATTTTGTTTTGACGTGTACTCGGGCAAGGCAATAAACCAACGAAAACTTCCTTTGCGTTTGAAATAATAATGTTCATTTAATTTCTTGCTGAAGCCACATACTTAATACTTGTCCACATAAATTATAAACAGAAAAACGCACAAGCACAGGCACAGTCGAAAACTGTTTGCTTCTCCCCTCTAATCAGCCACACCTGTGTGACACTGAGTAACCTCAAGTAACCTACCTGACCCCCCGCCAACATCCGGGTAGAGTCAGTAAACAAAGGAAATACTGCCCCCTGTATTTTGGAGGTACAGAATAAATAAATAAACACAACATGGCTCCTGCAGAGGAGCTAAAGTCCAGAGGGAGTGAGACCAAAACCAACTTGTTCCTTAAAGTTTTCTCTTCAGCAGAAACGTTTCCTGATGGTTTGTGTTACTGTTCACTGGCGCACGGTAACTATGCTCTGATTGTGTTGTTAATGTGCTAACTGGCTAACTAGCATCAAGACGCTCTTCCTGTTTCCCTTTTTCAATGATGAGTACAGACGTCCAAACCGTCTGCTGCTGTGGAGACTTATTTCCTCTCAGCAGGAGCAGAACGGACGTGTTGATTGGCTGTTGGCTGGAGTCTTTGTGGTGTGTTCATGTGCAACTTTTTCGCCGAGACAAAGTGATGAAAGTCAGTTTTCATTGCCGCTAGTTTTGGTGTCTGGGCCTTGAGAATGCATTCGTTTTAGTTAGGTGTACCTAATAAACTGGCAACTGAATGTACTCATGAATACAGTATTGAAAATGTTCTCTTAACACTTTACTTCACTGCATTTGACCACTGATACTGAATCAACTCAAGAGTGCACCAAATACATCATATGTGAGACACTAGTGTTGATGGTTGGCCATCAGCTGGAGTCTCTGTGGTGTGTTCATGTAAGGTTTTGGTCCAGACGTAATGATGTCAGGTGATGCAGCAGTGGGCCTTCGTTGCTGCTGGTTCTCTGAAGTGAGGTTGGTGTGTCTGGGTCTCTACACAGATGTTTTGGTGCTGTTACTACCTCCGCTCTCAGCTCAGAGGCGAGACAACTCTGGCCTTGAAGAGGCAGTGTAAAAGGGGTGACTGACAATACTGCTGTCAGGTCATGTTAAAGGATGATGATGTGAGTAAAGTGTAACCACAGTATGTCATTGTCCACATGTGCTGTATTATGACAGGAACTACTGTTAAAGCCTGAATCTGAACACTTGAGTCAGGAGATGACCTGAGAGGCTTCATCTCCTCAGTGAACTCAGCTCAGAGAAATATTTTATATAAGAGACAAACTAGACAAGACAGTTTCTGTCGCCGAACGCTGAACCTCTGTGGTAGGTGTGTGCTGATTTGCATCCACCTCGGCCGGCTCCCCGCGGCTTCTGTTCTCTGAAATAGTTGCACAAACGCTGCCAGTAAACGAATCTCAGGCAACAATTATGTTCCTTTTGCAAAAACAAATTAGGAGCGTATATATTGTTATTTTCAAGGAGACAGAGTTGCACATCGAGCGCTGATCAAATTTGTTAGGAAACCTCCAGACAAATTATGTTGTTTGAGTTATAAGCTGCCGCTCTGAGTCATTTCAGTATCAACAAATTTCCATCTCGCAAAAAAAGTGATGTTTCTCATCAGTGACAAACACAAACAACACGTCTGAAGCGACGCTCAGAGGTCAGATCCATTTTAAAAAAACAACAACAACAGAAACCACCTCAGAACTCTGAGATCTCCGTCCACACTGGAACAATGACGAGTGTGTTTTCTCAGTTTTTGGTCTTCAGGAGTCTGTCTCCCTTTCAGCTTTCCCCTCGACGTGATAAAGTGTGAAAAATTTGGAAGGTGGGTGGACTGCCTACTTTTAAACAAGCAAGCAAAGTCTACACGGCCATCTGCTCGCACCACAGCTTTTTTTTTTTTAAATCAAGGCTGCAGCCTCGCAAGAACCAGACTCCCTCTCACTCCTGCAATTTAGCATCTTGAGCTGAGAGCGAACAGCACACACAGCAGAACATGTTCGTTACTTCTAATCCAAGTTGAAAGCCCAGCGTGGCGTCGGTGCCGTTAACAGATGTCGTATTTGACAAACGAGTTTAGCTGCAGGTTGCTCTGTGTCGACACCTCCTGAGTGACTTCTTATTTTGTCCTTTAATTTAAGGATTTCTCTGACTTTGTTCTAAACAGAAGAATCAGACACACTGTAGTCGTCGTGATTGAGTTACACATGTCACTCATATTTAAGAAAATCATGTAACAGTTATATTTGGTGGTGTTTGGGGAACTGACTGGATGGTGCAGCTGTTTGTTCTGATGCAGGTTGATAAAGGAGAGATTTCTTAAACATAATCCCAAAATGTTATTTAAAGTTTTTCCTCTCAGATGTTGTATGCATACTTTATTAAAGGGACAGTTCACCCCAAAATCAGAAATACATATTTTTCCTCTCACCTGTAGAGCTGTTTATCAGTCCAGATAGTTTTGGCGTGAGCAGTTGGAGATATCAGCTGTAGAGATGTCTGCCTTCTCTCTAATATAATGGAACCAGATTACACTCAGTTTTTGGTGCTTAAAGCGCCACAAAAAATACATCTGAAAACCTCAACGTCAACGTCTCTTTCCATAAATCATGACCTGGTTACTAAACATAATCCACAAACCTTGTGAGCAGTTTCATGTTGGAACTATTTTCTTTTTACCAAACTACGCCTGCCCTCCACATCACTGCACAGACGGAAGCGAGTATTTTCTGCTAGCTCACGTAGCACCACTGAGCTAGCTAACGTTACAGCTCAGCCGGGGAGGACGCCATTAATGTTTACGTCTCATCGCAGAGCGCCCTCAGAGCAGAGATGAAGCAGCAGAACATCGGGCACATTGACATTGAAACCTAATCGTTCACTCAGCTGGGTTAAAAGTTTGCTTGCACTTGCAGCAGCTGCTCCTCTCTGATCTGATCAACTCTACAGGTGAGAGGGGAAATATGTATCTTTGATTTTGGGATGAACTGTCCCCTTAAAGGACAGTGACTGACAGCGCAAAACTGAATCAAATCAAGATTCTAAATTTTTTATTAATGAAATGCTGGTACAATATGAGCAGTATTTGTCTCTAGTGTGCAATAAAGATTATTAATTAGAGTCAGAACAAAATATAAATGATTAAAATTTAAAGACAAAACCTTCTGGTGTTCGTATGGACCTGGTGTTTCTGTGGAGGTGCAGTTTCTCTGTATATTAAAATGTATTTATTCAATAATTTTTAAGCTACAGTATACTGGAACATTTTGTTCAAACTTGAGTGCAAATATACGACTGTGTGTGTGTGTGTGTGTGTGTGTGTGTGTGTGTGTGTGTTTCAGTGGTAGAAGGAAGCTGAGATTTGGACGGAACAAGAAAACAGGTTTTAGGAGATGGTCGATAATGAGGCTGTTTTTTCCTCTCAACACAGATGTAGTGTTTTTGCAAACGGCAGAGCGCTGTGTTTGTGAGACGAAGTCTGAGTGAACACATCGTCCTCTGTCTCAAGTGGATACACAGTTCATTAGAGGATGTGTGGGTGAAAATGCACGGCAGGCTATTGAGTTATAAAACAAAAAACGCGTCACACTATATTGTTTTTCTCTTTGTGCTCTTCTTGTTTTCAGGCCGACTCATTTCATGATTAAGGATCGATGCCAGGCCCCGGAGCGAACAGAAGAAACCCTGAGAACAACCTGAGCACATCAGCAGGCAGGTAAGGAGAGGTCGAGACCTTCAAGGTTGGTTTTCCAGGACTATTGTTAAAGTGCTGAGACTGTGAGGCCTTTTCTCTCCTTGTTGTTGATTAATCGTGATGGCAAGTGTTAATGTTTGGCACAAACGTGACTCCAGAACATCAGCAGCACAAAATGTCCTACAAAAATATGCAAACACACTTTGTGTCGAAACGTTGATTTTAGAGCAGCAGAGATTCAGTTATTGATTCGACTGATTGATTGAACCTCTGCTGGACTTTCTTCTGCTTTACGTCTGATTCTGATCAAACTGAGGTCGAAGGAGAAAAAATGCTTTTAAATAAAAACACTTTGATCATTTATCACTTCCAGAAGGAGAGTTACAGAAACTGTGAGCAGTTTAAACACAACATCTCAGAGTTTCTTGGAAAATAAGATGCTGAGCTCAAAACATTAATTATTCACAAGAACTCGCTTTTTTAAAAAAAAAATTATTCCAGCAACTTGTACAATTAAAAAGTTTCCCATGGTTCGGTCACTGCTCCTCTGTGGAGAGACCCTGACGTACATGTGCATTAAAGATTCATCTGAACAGCTGGTCCTGGATCAGCACGGCATGTGTTCTCCTTCCAAACTTGTTTCTGAGCAGAAACTAATCACAGAGAAAAACATCTGCTGTCGTCACTGACGATGACATGTGTGTGTGATGTGAGAGTAAAGATTGTGATGTCAGGCGTCTGCGGTGCTGACGTGCCTTTAAGCAGATTACTTCAGGGTCTGATTTCGACCTCTGACCTCCCCTGAAGGAGGAAAGACACTTGATCTGCATTCATATAAAGATAAGTATTCCTGTGAATCCAGAGGCTGATATATATCACTCCTCTGTGTCACAGAGCTCCGCTGCTCTGATTAAAAACACATCATAGAGACATTGTTGCACTGAGTGATATCTTCCTTTATTCCCATGAACACTCACTGTAGGTTATTTTAAATCAATCTCACTCTCACCGTCCTGCACCGTTCCCAAAAACTCACTGGAGCACTAAATGTGCTGCTTAAAATAGTCCCCAACAAAAACACTATATTTGAGTAACGTTCACTAAAACCTACTGTGAGCCTTTTTATAAATATGAAACTACATGTTTGTGAGCTGTTTTTAAAGATGCAGGTATTCAGAGGGAACCAGTGGTCTCTGAGCTCAGAGCCACAACAGGAAGGAGACTTTTCAAAGAGTTTGGATACACTAACATGTTTTTTATTTTCATGGCATTTGTTTAACCTGATCATCAAAGAGAACATAATTCAGTCTAATTCATTCTCTAATGCTAGCGGCTGTGGCTAGCCCTGTTTCATGACTAACACATGATGTTAGCAACTGCATCTTAGCAACGTATCGTCACAAAACAGTTTGTATGACATCCTACGAATAAGCGCCATACAAATGACATTACGTCCATAATGTAAAGTTACTGAGGTTTGATTTAGGAAAAGAAACCTGGCGATGACGTACCCTAAAATGACAACAAGTGTCTCCTGGGGAAAGTCCTATGTTTTGTGAACATCCACCACCTCAGCTGCCTCCTAACTGGACCGCTCACGCTCGCTTTCTTCTTTACTCATGACAGCGCATTGGTCACATGATCGCAGGTCATATGTTTGTATTTTGCTTTTGTTTTTGTTGGAAAATGTACGAACAGTGTTTGAGAGCAGTCTGATATCAGCTACTTTACCGTCTTCATCCGCTCCTGGTTGAAGCAGAAACCAAACTGATGAGATGTTTTCCAATTTTAGCATCAAGCAAGCCATGACCTGGAGGTATGAGGCTATAACTTAGAGATACTGAGTTAAGACGTCCTGCTGACTACAGTATGTTTCTATTACTGAAATGACTTCTGAACTGTTTAGTCCCTCAAACCTCAAACTGTTAAATTTACAGATATAAAGCTGAGAAAAGCAAATCTTCACATTTGAGAAACATTTTTGCTCGTTAAATGAACTCAGTTATGAATCAATTAGCAAAATTGTTCTTGATTAACAGTCTGTGACTGAATAACACATTAATCAACTAATAACTAAATTTTTAAACATATTTTAACATCAAACTGCTGCGTCGTCCTGTTGGATGTAAAATTGTGCAGAAGGCGGTGATTCAAATTGTGCCTGCAGTCTGAGCGAATTTTTATGTTGAAGTGCAGAGATGAGAGTCAAAGAGAAACATCTCCAACAAACGTCTGTTGTCTCTGGTAGATTAGCTTTTTATTTTCTCTGCCTTTCAGAAGCGTTTGATCTGCCTCCTTCTAACTTTTGACAACTTTGAGGAGGAAAGCCTACAGCAGTCCCACAAGGCTTAATTATCCCTCAGACTGATAACAACCTGGTACGAGCGGAGGCCTGGAAGAGAAGGGGAACTAAGAGGAGATAGAGATGGTAGGATTAATGGAGATTGTCTGATATTACCTGGCCTCTGATCAAAAGACTGTGTTGGCAGGCGGAGCACATAATCCTCTCTATTTCTCTCCTTCATGCCAAAAACTGCTGGTGCTGTGTAGCTCCATGAGCAGAGCAAGACATCGCTGACCGGCCTGTTCCCGACGGAAACACCCGTACGTCTGTAAATACACATCTGAAGGCATGAATCGCATTAAAGCTTTCATCATGTAACCTCGCAGGTCTGCAGCACGGCGAGTCTCTGCTGCAGTCTTACACACTTTTTAATAAGCGAGTCCATTCTTACATTTGACTCATTTTGAGTCATACTCTCTGGATGTTTGAGTCCACTGAGACACTTTTTATTCTTTTATCATCATCTTTTTCTTCTGCTGCATCTCGGCTCCAATAAGCCTCGTCAGAGTTCGCAGAATTGTTATCGGGATTTTAGCTCAAGGACATTTTAACAATTTGTGTCAAAGGGAAAGACAAGAGCGACGTTCTGAAGAGAATAGTGCTCGAAAGATAAAACTTTGATTATCATTTGGAGGAGAAACTATAATATGTGGCCTTAATAAAATCCTGATTCATTCTCTGGTGAAACTTTAACAGACAAAATGACTTCTGGTCAGAAATCAACAGTTTCTTTATTAAAATCTATTTAAAATATCAATTCAGTCACTTCTGAGTATTTTATCACTTGTAGTTTGCTGTATAGAAAAAATAAGATTTAACTTATAACAAAATACTTTTACAGCTTGTTTATATGTGTATGAAAGACGGAGGGTTGTTATTCATGCTAGTTTGTGTGTGTGTGTGTGTGTGTGTGTGTGTGTGTGTGTACGCCACAGAGCAGGAGTTGTTGAAGCAGCCGCTAATGCAGAGAGAGAACGCCGTGGTTGTTGTTGAGATGTTGGCTACGTCCCACATTAGCCTGTTAAAGTTAAGGAATGAAAAGACAGCAATACGAGTTCATGCCTTGTAGCCTCATTGTTATGGGACGCTACAATATCCACACAGGGAGCAGGTCCTCATCTACGGAGATCACGATGTTTCTACAGTAGTCCAGAATGGCCAAACCGAACACTGACTCTAGATAGAGACATTCAGGTTTTTGTGTTTTTACGTTGGCCACCTTGAGTTTGTGTCGCCCTCTCTGCTCCTGATCTGATCTCAGCCGATCTTTTATTTTAATGTCAACACAACAGATGGATAGAAAAGAATGTCAAGGCCGTTTGAATCTGCAGAGAGGAACAGAAACATGTCGGTCAGTGTTTCTGTCTCTCAGTTTTGTATTTAGAGGTCACCTAAACCTTGTTAAGGTGTAAAACTAAAATCACTGTGCTGCAGCTTGTCACTCTGATCAAAACAGTCGGACGGGGACAATCATACGGCCTTCAGAGCCCACAGTAAATCCTGCTCTCAAAACAGGAACCTCACTGTGCAATCAGTCATGTCTTTATGTCCTCTATCAGGAAGAAAAGATCACAAACTGCTCGCTGTCTTCTCTTATTGAGTGTTTTTCTTTCTGCAGAATTGTCTGCCGCTGCCACAGATGTAGCCCAGAATAGTAAAGTCAATAAAAAACTGATCGAAACTGGTTTGCAGCCTTTTTTTATGGGTAGAAGGAGCTTTACATTTTGGAGTGTGCCTCCAGCTTCCTGTAAAACAGCATTCATCATCCAAGGCGTAAAACACATTTGAGTGTTTAAAGGCAGCGAGGAGCTGCAGCAGAGCGCTTTAAAATCTGTGTTCTGTGCAGATTTATAAATCAGGAGGAACATAATTTCTACAAAACAGCAACTTTATCCCTTAACGGAGATGTCATAACGTTAAGCTGCTTAACAGACAGAAAAAGCTCTTTGGGTTTTGCACTTGACGGCACTAATCTGCTCCCAAAAAGAAATCTACTTATAATTTTGGGATATTTTCCAAAGGAAACTGTAATCTGCAGTTATTCTAGTGTCATAATTGATATCCCTGATGTTTGGATGGGTGCTGAGTGGGTTCATTTCCGTGCTGTGATCCTGCTCCAACACTGAAGGTTAAACTTTTAGGGACGATAGCAAACGATGATATATGATAATATGAGATATGAGAAGAGGTGAGTGTCCGTGTCTAATGATTCAAATATCCGCTCTCACCTCTGTTGGCTAAAGTAATTATGACAAAGTCATGTGCAGCTGAAAGAGGACGAGTACCAACATGAGAGAAACTCGCCGCCCAGCTGACTGAGGAGAAAATCAGACATTCAGCAGATCAAACTTTTCAAACACGTCTGAATTAGTGACGTTTAAAGTCAGAGTTGCGCCGTGTTTCAGAGCGTCCTGCTTCCTGAACGTGATGCTGTTAGAAACAGGATGTCGAGGCTTTAATGCCACACACTGATGGGATATTGGTCAGAAAGGGAAAAGCTGTTTGATTCTGATGGAGGAGCTGATCGTCCAATAATCTGCAGTGGTGGAACAAGGAGGAAAAAAACTGACTGAGCTCCTGATATTGACCCAAACATCAGAATGAATGTTGGCATTAAATGTTTCTGCAAACCACAGATACAGAACATTTGTGCATTATTATGTAGCAGATATGTTGA